AACACTTCGTGTAATTGAAAACCAGTAATGTCAAGGAGATGATAAACGTAGATTACAATGTATGATTTATTCAAAAGACGATAATAACATTATTAACGAATAACGATAATGTAATAATGGATTACGTGTGTATGGTGCAACGGGCTGATGTCATGCCATCATGAGTATATAACCAGAAAAATAGAGACGAAGAAGGGCCATCCATCCTTGGCAACTCATCAGCCACATGGGCCTTATATCACTTTTAAATATCAATTTTCGTTTGCGCTGAAATAAAAAATTAGAAAGCTGAAATAGTACAGCGCCAACAACTGACCTGTGTGTACGTGTCCGTATATTCCAAAAATATCCTGTGTTTATTGTAATAAAGATAATACCATGCTCCATTCGGTGGCGTGGAAAAAACAACAAAACATCTAATTACAAAACAAACAGAATCACTTTGAATCGGTAATTAAACATTAAACATGTAATTTTTCAATTATCGTCCATTATAGCAAAGCTCAAGTTAAACTGGTCGATTTGAAGTGAAACAATTGACGACACCTATCAATTGTTTCGATTTCTGGTTGGCCAATCGGAGCGCAGTTGTCACTGTAATTTGGCAGAATGGTTTTCAAACAAATTAAATGACATTTCGTCTCTATTTCTGGTTATGTGTATTATGCACGCATAATACATTACTTCGTGGGAGGCATCTAAAAGAATAATTATGCGTGTAAGGTAGTAATTATGCATTTAAGAGAGTAATTATACGTGTAAGGGAATGACCACCCTTATCGATACGGAATCGTGTTAAGCCGGTCAAAAAAAAGCTTTAAGGCGTGTAAAAAGACCCGTACCGTCTTTTTTTTCTTATTTGCTCAATGCGTATCCGCCTTTATAAATATGGCGACCAGCTAATGTGCAGATTACTTATGTTTGCTATATTTGAAACAAATAATCATCTTGAAACTCGTAAATTTATGAGACAATACAAGTTCATACAGCTTCTATCTATTTAGGTAAATGAAAAAACTCAAAATTTATAATAGCTATCACAAAAAAGGGTCTAAAATACCTTGAGTCGTAGTAGTATGATGTAATATATAGTAAAGGACAGAATAGGTGTTATAAAATATCTTATACGTTTACCCTTAGAATAATAACGCATAGAATGATAGTTTCATATCAAACGAACTGTCACAAGTGAGGTAAAAATCAAATTCATGTAGGCTAGTTTTAGTAGTAGGTTAATTTTCGGTTTTAGTGAATATTTATATAAAAATACAAGTTGAAACTTCCTTGTGGAATGTGATGTTAGTATCTATTTTATGTTGGTCTGACGTATTTTTACACTCATTTACCGCACATTTCGTCATTTTTAGCTAAAATTCTTGAGCTGTTCGCGGTGCAAGTTGACCTTGAGCACTGACGGCCCGCCCGCTCGTGTAGGCCCATTGGGAGCGCTTCAATTTGTCTCACTTAGCGTGTGCGGACTAGGTTTCTATGCGTTATTATTCTAAGCGTTTACCTTACTTCTGATCCGAAAATAGAAAACAATACTTATTTGTGGATTACGAGTATAATGTCTAAGAGCGATGCCACACGGGCGCTGTCGGTGCGTAGCACCGTCGTAACGCTGCGATTTTAACGCACCGAGTGCCACACGGAGAATTCGATGTTGCAATCGCAACGTAACGCCGCTTACTTTAAAGCGATGCCACACGATGTGTTCTGCTTCTGTATTGTACAACATATTATAAATCAGAACCACATGAAATGCGTTGAAATGGCGCGTCACGGCAATCAACTTAGTACGTTGAAATCGTAGCGTTGTGATGACGCAACGCCTATGTGGCATTGTATCAGCAACTATGATTACTAATTGGAGTAGCTCTAATAGAGGCTGCACAATTTTGTATATAACGCTATAATTAATTATCTATGATTAAAGAACGTATTAAGTTTTGGTAATTTTTATACATACGACACACACGGCATTAATTTGGAATAAATCGCGAAGGAAAATGACGTCGTAACTCAAAACACATCGCAATAATATATTTGTACTATCTTAGAGTACTGCCACCTTATCTATTTCTGCCGCCAAATAGTAATGTGGCCATTACTGCATTCTGTTTGGAAGGGTAAGGGTGCCGGTGAAATTGCAGGCACATGGAACTTGTGAACTTATGTTAAAGCGTGACGGGCGCAATAGCAGTGTCCTTAAGATCTTTGTGATTTCACTTGGTATAAAATAAAAAAAAATGTTAAGGAGAAATTTACAGCTCGTTCAGCAAGATCCATTAATTATTTTATCTGCAAAGTAGTCGAGTTCACAATAAATGGAGAATTATTGCGGAAATGGTTATAGTGTAGACCGTAAATTGGTAGTAAAGCAGATTTATGTGTAACACAGAGGAACAACTAATTCAGGAATTATAGCATTTCGTCTGCTGAAAGGTAAAACCACATAAGTGACATTTCTACAAAAAGTCTTTATAAAGCTATGGTAAGAAAATCATTATCTTTCTGCAGGTGAAACTCAATAACAAGAAAGCTATAAACTCAATAAGTGGTTGTATTTGCAGAAACATGGTGATTTTAAGTGAAAAACTTTCACTTAACTTTGTAACTTCAGGTTGTTTAGATCTATCTTCTTCTTGTTGTATCAATGGCATACACTTTTCAAATCAAATGACAGGACGAACAAGTCACGCGCCTGGTGGTAAGTTACATGCCTGTCCATAACAGTTCCGCTCAGAGCTTTAAATCGCAAAGATTGAGGGGCACTGCCACTGCGCCCGTCACCCTGAGACATGAGTTGGCAAGTCCCATGTGCCTGTAATTTCACCAGCCCCCTTACCCTTCAAAACCGGAACTCAGTAATGCTGACATTACTGCTTGACGACAGAAATAGGTAAGGTGGCAGTACTAACCCCGGACGAACTCTTTCACAGCTTTGGTGGAAAACATCACACCGTTTCACAGCGCCGCTACACATCCCCGTACCGCCTCGCCATCGCGCACATGTCTGGTGGAAAGGCAACCTAAAACTCTACAACTGCTATGGATAGGCGTGTGGCTTATAGCCAGGCGAACGACGTACGCCCCCCTTTATATCGTAAAAAATAAAAAGCGATATATACAATTTAAACGATTCCAAACAATAGGTACCGTTTGGTACCCTTGATGAGTACACAAGCAATTTGTACCTAACTATTATTAGCTGCGGCTAGAGTTCAGAGAATTCTATTTTAGTTAGGGGCTGGACTCTATATCTAAGCACCCTTTCCTAGCAGCCTTTACCCAACAACGTTACCTTACACATAAGTGTTCTACTATGAGTATGTATTTTTGTAACAAAATGTAAGGCTATTAATACAAAGATCGAACGTAATATTGGCTAAATTTGACTTACGTTCCTTACGCTTTTTTATCTATTCAGTACGTATGCCTTAAGGCGTAGCATAGAAGGTCCAGTATAATTTTATTTAACACCGTGTATCATTCATTTACCTACTGTAACCTATGTTGATGTGCAATGAACAACAGAGTACAAATAGTTCTACCGAGAATTGTTTTCATCGTTTAAGCAAACACTACGTACGGCGCACAGTGGAGCACTTTGTACGGCACCGCGAAAAATGTTATGTTTTTATAGTATAACAAGACTATTGGTTATTTAGGGTATTTAAGGATGAAATAAATATTTTTGTGATAATAAAATGTACGTACAAATTAACAATTTCGGTATTAATATTTTGTTACAAATGGTAAATAGGTTTCGTTTAAAATATTTATATCAATATTAGACTATATTATATATCGTTGGTTTTGAGGGCAGTTAGTTAATGTGTTCTCACATCTAAGATGGCAGTTGGTGGCAACTAAAACTTATAATATCTAATCAAGACAGACTAATAAATGGCTTAAGTGATATAAGTAAGCAGCGGCCAACGACGGTAAAAAGATATAGCTATAAATTTATAAAATTTTGGTCTTAAATTAAGCAATCCTTAAAACGTAAATGAGAAATATTAAAAAGATAAAATCCTGTCGCTATTACGCGTACCGACTAGATTACATATCTAGGCATTACAAAAAACACAAGCATCGTTAATTTTTTATTAAATTTAATTTAAAATTATCTTTGAAATAACATAAGTTTTTGCGCAAAAATGGTTATATCTGCATCGGATGTTTAGTTTCGTATTTCTACGTGATGTACAGTTATTGGCAATTAGTTTTTATAGTTTTTGTATCTATGGAGAATGTATAATTTAAAATTTGTTTATGTGAATGTAAAAAATGTAAATGTTCATAAAAAGTACTTTTTTCCGCCAATGCACCAACCACTGCGCGGCTCATATCTGGAATGAAACTAATTAACCCGAAATTTGTCAAAATTCTCGATAGGTTGCGGCCAGACGGACTAAAATGCACAAAGTTGATGTACCCACCTGCATGTAGTCGATACTGTCTGCAAGCAGCAATCGACACCTAGTTCGGGAGCTCAGTAAACGTATGATGAAATAAACGTATCACGATCGAAATCCTCCATTATTGATAAATTTATCTACGAACTCACGGCCGTAATCCCCGACAATATTTTGTAGTGGAATTAGCGATCCAAAATGTAAATAAAGGTGCTATTTAAAAAAACGATATATTTAAGGATTTGTGCAAATGTGAAGTCGAGAAAAGTTTCACCAATCCCGCTTTTGTTTTACCATTATGTTGTCAAGTATTCGTTACCTTTTGCCGTTATTGAAAAAAATCCAAGTCGTTTCAGACACAAAAAAGTTGTTTAAGTGTCTATTGTATATTGTTGATCACGTTTGCCTGCATTAACTGCAGAAATGCAGTCCATCTATTAGAAACTTTAGTGTTTCGAACTACCTAAGACGTAGTCCAAAGTACACTATTCGTGAATATGTTAAAGTTAATGTGTGGTTTCTAAAGGAATCTTTAAATGAATTTCCTTAGAATGGATGAATATTCGAGATATTTCGCAGGTGGTCGCAACCTACGTAGCACGAAACTCGTCGCTTCAGTTTATTAAGGGACGACCGATACACTGGGCGGGAGGGCGTCACACCCCACCACCCGACACGCCGGAATGTGGCTTTGATGGCTCGTTGTGTCCTGACACCTGTAAGTATATTCCTTAAATTTCTATATAATAACGATACAGATACCAATGAACAGCAATATTTAGCACTTCCTCTCCAAAAACAAATTACAAAACGTACAGTCGATACCTCAGGTCAGGTATCTGTGAACGGTATCTGACCCCTTATCCTTCTGGTTCTGAGAACCTTCTTATGCATTCAACATTAAAGTGTAAAGGAATTCCGCTTCTTGGTTGAAATTTGTATTTATGTAATGTAATTAAACATTAAATTGGCTTAAAAAATATTGTAAAACGTCATTTACTAATGATGGAAATCATACCAAAAACAATTTTACGGCTCACAGGTTAAAGGTTAAGTTTGTTTAACACCTTTTCCACACTGATCTATTCAGAATCAAACAGACGGTTAGGGGTCAGGTATCTTAAAGCATGTACTTACATATTTTACTCCATACTCATTGACTTACAATTATATGGACGTCGGGTCCGCGCTAAAAAGTGTCCGAACTTATAGGGCGTTAAAATCGTATACAGAGCGTCATTCACGCTTTAGTCTTCTTTTGTTCGACTGACAGCGAAGCAAGCAAAATTAGACAGTACTGCGATGACATTACAATTTAAATCTAACGTTTTAGCTTTTTCATATTCCTTTACATGTCACTACGTTTAAATAGGTTGACTTGGGACATTTTTTTCGTGGTTTTTGTATTAGACCCGTCGTCCATTTATTTGTAAGTCAATGTCCATACTCGATATTTGATAGTCTATAATTTTGTAAGTAACAATTGTGTGTAAAATCTTTCTTTGTTTTTATTATGGCAAGATCACTTTAGCATTTTATACTTCATGAGTTTCTGGTCATAAAGTAACACTGTAAAGCATTAACGTCAATCAAGTTAGACTATAAAGTTACTTGAAATGTGAAATGGTTGCTGCAATCATTTTGCTTGGTAAAATCAGAATATGTTACATGGCAACACGTTACATAGTATTGTAGACAATAAATAAACCGAGTCTTTGAATGATCTCAAACTGATTGACACACCTCTTACGTTTTATAATAATACCTTTGGAGGTATTTTTTTAGACTTTGCTTAGGCAAAGACAGGAACAGAAACCGCCTACGATTGAACAAGAAAAATAAAAGTAATGCCACATAGGTATAATGATCACCATAAACATCATCTCGCATATTATGTCACATCGTTATTTCAATGTATTCATGTAGTTTACAAACTTTCGCCATCACACATCAAATAGGAAAGCGTTAAATTGAAATTGTTGGGTAAATTGGAGGTATTACTGAGTACCGTACGAAGTGTAGGAAATTCCTTGTAGTGTAGTGAAAGTAAGTTAAAAAATAATTAACACACAATAAAGTATAACTATAAATTCATTATTAGTTATTCAGTCACTTGTGCGCGGCATTTCGAGGAGGTTTAACGGTGTTATTATAATAAAGACCCAAGTGACGTAAGCAGCGGTGTCACCGAAGGAAGTTCCGAAGAAATTAAAAAGAATGGACATTTTTTGAATCGATAATCATTCCATCAGCATACAAGCCACGTAGCTGCTTGCCGAATAATTTTGACATATAACATTTGATGTTCTATTTAATATTAGAGAATCAGTGAATATTTATAAATTTATCGATGTAACAGAAACATTGACCAATATAATACGTAACAATTTAATAGGAAATGAAAAGTTTAATTTTAGTGAGGTCTGCAATGTAATGGCAGTTGTTACTTGTAAAACATAAAAAGCAAATGTAAATTCTTGGATTATTTCTCAGTTATTTCAACCACTGATCTACAAAATCAGATCTTCAAGAATATATCAACGAATACCTCTATTACCTGGACTTCTCCTGGACACTAGATCATGTTTTGAGTCTCTCAAACTCATTTCAACTTCGATCAATGAATGTTGTATAAATATTTACAGTATCTCTCGATATTGCTGTTCCAATACAAATAGCTATCGGCGAACGATTTTTAATGGTTTGGTATTTATTTATATAAGTGGTGTCATATCTGCAGCTCACTTGATTTATATCTCTATAACAATTGACGTAAAGTTTAATTCGATTAATAACAGAGACGTGAAGACCGTCAAAATAAACGAGGTCAAAAGAGGTCCTTCAGTAGAAGAAAAAGAAAAAATCTTTATTGCATTAAAAGAGAAGAGGCGTTTTCCGTTTACTTTCCGTTGGGACGACGTAAGTACGCCGTTGTTGTCGTTTAGCAATAAAGTATGAGTAACCATTTCCATGACATGGCTCAGATTTAGAAGAACGAACTTTGACTTACGATGAGCAAAAATGGCAAAAATTAAAATATTTATATCAATGTAAGTCTGTTACTACTTTTGAGAAAAAGTAACTATATTCTTCTTAATTTAAATTATATTTTCATAAATGTTCTGCGACACTAGTGTAAGAATGTTAATTTCTTTAAACTTATTTCTGAAAGACATTCTGGGACCCCGATTGTAAATTACCCTACACAGACGTTTTTGCAGTACGAAGATTCTTTAATAATGGCGGTCATTATACTGTGAAATAACTGAACTGATCTACCGGTTTTGACGTCTGAAAGATATTATGGGCTAACCAATCAATCAATCGGGCTAACAAATCATATAGTATTCTGCAAGACGTCGATGTGTGATGTTTAAAGTGTGTTACTATACGAGCGCTTGGTATTTGAGATCTACGTGATGATCTACTATCGTAGATCACGAGATGCCTGTTAGTTGCTACGTCCTCTTATATACGTGGTACATTTATTCAAGACTAGGTGTTTAAGACCTCACATCTAGTTGCAGGCATACCGCTTACCTGAGTCGGTTCCGGTGCGCAGTGCGGGAGGAGTGACAGTTTACGTCACAGTGATCGCGCTGCGCACGGGATAATTTTCAACAAGATTTTTCTGACGATATTCAATAACAAGTTGATTTAAAAAAGTGCCAAATGATTTGTCTTTTCATTTCAATTATCAATGAAATAATTTTTTCTACTAACGACTAATTTGGAAGGCACTTTTTTCAATCAATTTGTTATTGAATATCGTCAGAAAAATCTTTACTACACTAACACAGTTACTTCTCCCGCGCAGCTCACCTACCTCTGGAACCGACTTAGTTAAGCAGTAGACCTGTACTTGTAGGATGTACCCGCTTAAATTAAAATTAAAAACCTCATACGAAACAGTGTACTCCAATAAGCAATAAAGTCGCAAACCGTGAGGTGACAACATTACCTGACATTACATGCCACAGTAGTGCTACTGTAGATTGGGGGTTGTCTGCAAACTGTAAACGTAATTAAAGCCATTTGAGAAATGTATCTCGAATACTATACGAGACTATATTAAAAAAAATCATTGGTATATTGTAAAGAACCTATTGAATACAGCGGATTTCTTGTTAAATTTTGTACTTTTTTCTATCGTAAAAATTTTTAGAAATCGTGTTTTCCCTTACCTTATACTAACCTTATACTAATCGGTGTATATCAGTGTATGCATTTTTTCTAAAGTGTTGATTCAACACTTTCGCTGCTATGCGGATTCCATTTAAAATTGTATCGTCTTTTGAACAGCTGAATAGATATTCATCAAACATAGCTAGCAAGCATCCCAAATTAAATTAGCCTTCAAATAAAAAAATTTCTTTGAGATCACTCCATCCAGTTAGGAATTACAAATTCACAGGGCAGACATAATAATAATAATAATAACGCATACACTGAACATAGCCCCGCACTAGGGAAACCCTGTGTCGCGGGTGCCATGGACACATTACATACACAACCACAAATTAACACCCAAACTCACGAGAGAAATAAATGTAGGCTATGCAAATATTTCTCCCGGCCCGGGAATCGAACCTGGGACCTCTGCGTGGCAGTCCGGCATGGTAACCGTTCGGCCACAGAGGCAGTCAAAACATACAAACAAACTGATAGACACCGTATACAGACAAAGGACTTCAAAGTTATAACTTTCTGTGGGGGGTTAAAAATATTATTTTCGGTGAAGTTCATAGTTAGCCAGCATTATGTATCATTGTAAGATCATACAACCTGATCTTTCTTTTTTTTTCAACAGCATTATCAAGTACATACAGTATTGTAAAAACCATAAATGGTTTGACTCAATACTGGTGAGTTCATCTCTAACCAGATACAAAATTTGTATATGCTAAAAAAATTAAGCTACACTAATAATTAGTCTAAAACAATAAGTGGGTATTTCATTAAAAACAGTTAAACCTATTATCACATCGAAGCTCATCTATCGTCGTGACGTGCATTCCACAGCTCGCCAAAACCGGTCGGTCACCGATTTATCAAGTTAATTATGAGAAATAAGTAATATATATTTGAAAAACAAACAGCTGTCCGTTTTCAGAAATGGAAGATGCTATAATTATTAATACGAAGAACGAATACTAAGAAAAATTCGTTTCGAAGCTGCATCTTCAGCCAATCTGTGCCAGATGCTTTCCCAATAGACCTTACAGATATTTGGTTTTTAACTTCTTTTTTGCCATTATCATGGTAGTAGAACACCGTGACATTCGATAAAAACTTAAAAATAGTAGTACTTGCTTAAAACGCATGCGAACGCGACGGGTCTCACAGCTTTCAACTAAGAAAGTAAGTCCATGAAAATCGTATTACGAGGTCTGTAAGAAAATTACCCCTTCTAATATCGGGTCCCGAATAGCGCCGCCCGCTGGGCCTGTTTTGGCGTGAAATTAACTTTTATTATCAGATGTATTTCGATAATTCCACTTACTTAGGGTTGTGCGTTTCTGAATGTGAAGTTGCTAAGTGTAAGTAGTATTATACCAGTAACGGTTACCTGCTACGTTCATATTTGAGTTAGGAATATTTATTGAATCAGAAAATTATGCACTGTTTTCTAACTATAACGTGGAGTACCTAAATGCGAGTATTTGATTCTACTGAACCAGGGACTGAGTTTTCGGTATGGCGAGTCTTCAAATACGA